TGCGATGACGGAGGACGACAGGCTCGATTATCTCTCGACAACAACGGATGAGGGCAATAAGAGGCTGGACTTCGATTCGCGCATTAGAGCGCAAGTCTGAGATTTCTCAGGATGAAGCAATGGTAGCGCCACAAAGGACCAATGGCGTACGATCGATGAACGACGTAACGATTACACACGACCTGGAATGCGGACGGAGCATTTTGGCACATCATAGCATTGGACAGCAAGTAAAACGCTTGGGTAAATGATGATAATAGAAAGACTCAAATGCAGTATGCGTGCCGCGGAAGGCGGACCGACATGTCTAGGGTATTTGCATCTATCCTCAGACAAAACAAGGCGCAAGCTATGTACAGCTCAAATGTGCAACATCCATTATCTTCCTCCAATGTTCGGTGTGGAAATACTGATTTTCCAATTCTCCAGCCAGTATCTATCGTCGAACAGGGCCTCCGTATTTTACAGCACGAACGCAATAACACCTAGCACTGCGCCAACTAGAAGCGTCAAGCCACCTGATCCAAGCTTATTCGCCGCATCCACTTCGACTGGAATATCAGTACTAGTCGGGAAAGTGACAGGCGCAGTCTGTGTTCCATTAATGATTGAGGTGAAAGTCGGGATGGCGGGGGGAGGCGGCACGACTTGAGAAGCCGTCGGTGATGGAGGCTGTGGCACAGGCTCCTCTGGAGCAGGGTAGTCGGGTGTCGGCTGCCCGGGCGTGAGAGGTTCTTCAGGAGTAGGCTGTTCTGGTATGGGCTGTTCGGGAGTAGGCTGCTCAGGAGTGGGCCCCTCTGGAGTAGGCTGTTCGGGAGTAGGCTGCTCAGGAGTGGGCTCCTCTGGAGTAGGCTGTTCGGGAGTAGGCTGCTCAGGAGTGGGTACCTCTGGAGTAGGCTGCTCGGGAGTAGGCTGCTCGGGAGTAGGCTGCTCGGGAGTAGGCTGCTCGGGAGTAGGCTGCTCGGGAGTAGGCTGCTCGGGAGTAGGGCTTTCAGGCGTGGGCTGCTCAGGGACAGGTGTCTCCGGGATAGGTTCTTCGGGAGCGGGGTATTCGGGAGTTGGCTGCTCAGGGGTGATAGGCACCACCGGCGTTGGCTCCTCAGGAATCACAGGCACCTCTGGAGTTGGCTCTCCAGGCGTGACGGGCTCTTCGGGTGTGGGTTGCTCTGGGGTAGGCTCAACGGGGGTTGGCTGTTCAGGAACAGGCTGCTCTGGAGTGGGTTCCTCAGGCTTTGGCTCCTCAGGCGTAGGCTCCCCAGTTGGCTCGAAAACCACCACCGGCGTCGTTGTCGTGATGATCTCCTCCTCAATCGTAGTCGACGGCTGGCCCACAGGGCAGTTAGTAACCTCAGGGGCGCAGGAGGTGATGGTGTTCACGATGGTCTTGGAGACGACGACTGTGGTCGCCACATCGATGACAGGGCAAATTGTAGTCGTAACGCCGACAACCTCCGTAATTGTTGATCCAAGCTTTCCGGGACAGTCGGCGGCGGCCTCAGGCGGGCAAGAAGTGATGGTCGAGATGCGAGTCTCGGAAATGGTGAGGGTCGTGAGTCGCTCACTAGTGATGGTCGGGGTAGGTGCTTCGGACACGGGTACCTCCGGCACCTGAGAGGTAGGCTCCTCGGGTGCGGGCTCCTCAGGGGTGGGCTCTTCTGGTGTAGGCTTCTCAGACTCCACAGGCACCTGAGGCACCTGAGAGGTAGGCTGCTCAGGAGTGGGTTCCTCCGGGGTTGGTTCTTCAGGGGTGGGATACTCAGGTTCTTCTGGCTTGCCAGGCCCCTCGGGGACAGGAACCTCTGGCGTGGGCTGTTCAGGGGTTGGAACCTCGGGCGTGGGCTCCGCGGGCGTCGGCACCTCGGGCGTCGGCTCAGACACTGGCACCGGCACCGACGACTCCAAGACAGGGATTGCCGTCGTTGTTGTAATGACCTCCTCCTGGATGGTCGTCGAAGGCGCGCCAGGACAATCAGGCACATCAGGAGCACACGAAGTGACAGTGTTGACGATGGTTTTCGACACGGTCACGACCGTAGGCACATCGGTCACGGGGCAGACAGTCGTGGTCACAGCAATGACCTCAGTGACAACCTCGCCCACCTTGCCGGGACATTCGGCGGCAGCCTCGGGCGGGCACGACGTGATGGTGGTGACGCGCGTCTCCGAGATGGTCAGGGTCGTGAGGCGTTCACCCGACGTGATGGGTACGGAGGTAGACACTGGAAGAACCGACTCTGAAGGCACAATCGAGATGGGCTCTGTCTCGATGGGGTAGTCTGGGACGGAGACAGAGGCAGACTGCGCAGGCTGTTCGGAGGCGGAAGTAGTCTCGGATGCAACAGGCTGTTCAGGAGCCGAGACGGGCTCAGATGCAACAGGCTGTTCGGGGATCGAGGCGGACGCAGACGCAATAGGCTTCTCGACGGAGACCGGCTCGGATACAACAGGCTGTTCGGGCGTCTCTGGCGGCTGTTCGTAGATTTCGGACTCGACAGGGACCTCGGGCTCGACAGGACTTGATGGCGTTCCCGGCTGCTCGTAAAAGTCGGACTCGACAGGGACCTCAGGTTCCACAGGAGTGGATGGCACCTCCTCGCCCTCAGGCAGATCCGTGTACTGAGGCTTTTCGGGCGCAGGAGAAGAAACGACAACACTGGTGACGGTAGGCTCGGCGGCCTCCGACTCGATGGCAGGCGGCGCGTACTCGGTCTTTTCATCACCAGAGGTGTAGACCTTGATAGAGCGGACCTGGAAGTAGCTGTCTTTCAGGAGTTCGGGGTTCTCCGCAATATAGGCCTGACAGCTTGTCTGCTTTGTGGTCTCGGCACACTGATCCCAGTGGCCCTTATGGCCGGCAACGCCGCAGAAGTTGATGTTCATGATGATCTGCGCATCATCAAATACCTTGCCCACCTCGCACGCGGCACTGGCAAATCGGGGCAGGCCCCAGGTCTCAGGGTTGGGGTTCTCGGCAAGGTCGGCAGGGACATTGTCGTGGGTGAATGCCCAGATCTTGATGGAGTCGTCGGTCCACTCCAGGGCGTCTGGCACTCATTAGATGGATGAAGAGCATGGCACTTCAGAGATGACTCACAGACACCGCCCTTATCAGAGGCATAGGGAGCAGAAGGGTCAAGGCCGGCACAGCCTTCGCCAGACCCCTGGCCAGGCGCATCCCCGGCACAATTGGGTTTGCCCATGTCGGCGGTCATGCCCTCGCCGTCGATGCCACACTGCCCGACCTTCGCGTCAGTGTGCATAACGATACGGCTGGCAGCGTCGAGATTCCAGGCCTCGTAAATGTCGATCTCGCCACCTGAGGGCCACGCCTGGCCAACAGTCCAAAACGCGGGCCAGGTCCCGCAGGTCGGCTTGGGGAAGTGCGTGAAGTCAGCGATGTACAGGCCCTTGTTGTACTTGGCCTTGCTCTCCAACCTGACACTGCTGCGTCCAATGCCAGTGGGGTCAAGCTTGGTCTTTGCGTCGACGCCGAGAAAGAAATTCGTCGCCCACTGTCTTGAGGATGCCCAGTTCCTCAGCCTCGGCACGGCCCTTGTAAGACACGTAGCCGCTTGTGGGATCGACGTCATTGTAGTTTCCTGTCGAGTGATCGCTCTGATTAAAGTTAGGCTTCTGTCTTGGACGACTGGGGGTTGTTTTGTATTCTCACCTCGAAAAGAGAAAACTTATCGAGAAAATTGGTAGAATCATAAGTATCAGACAGTTGATACGATTTGGCTTGCACAGCGGCAGAAAACAAAAGAGCCGACTTGGCGGCGGAAAGAAACGAGGGCGCCATGTTGGCAGTGCGCTGTTCGGAGCTGTGTGGGAAAGCAGTGTTCACCTCCTGTACACGAAAAGAAGTGAAGCCGACGGCCAGCGGTAGTTGGTTATGTAGCGCGTGTCGTCGAGACTCCGTCAACGGAGTATGTGAGAATCAAAGTGAATGACCAAACAAGTCTTGAAAGAATGACTGTTGGGTAGAGTACACACACAAGGAAAGAAAAAGATGAAAGATGGCGGACCTTGATTGAAAGAGGAAACACAAAGAGAGGATGCCGCGGAACAAGAGCATACATCAGAACGGTCGAGGGACATCATCATGATATACCCAGGCCACTGTCGCAAAGGCCCGCATAGGCACATTGGGCAGTGGCATCAGGAGCTGGGCCATCCAAGACGAACCGGTACCTCGGCCAGGGCGGCAGGATCCAGGGGCAGCATCTTGGCGAGGCCAAGACAGATGGCCTTGGAGAGTCGACGTCGAATCAACGGAGGGCGCACGACCCCGAGGCCTCGACCACAAGGCAAGCTCTGGACAAAAAGAAACGGCTCAAAGAGATGTCCAGGGGCTGCCCTCGGGTGTCAAACGGCGGATGCAGACTCAACAAGGCCGAACCACAAAAACGGGTCTCCCTCTTGCAGCATTCAGGTAGACAGGGGGCCACCCATGGACCACGGCGGTTGGCGGCTCTGGGCAGGGGTTGATGGGCAGACGAATGGCCAGAGAGGTCATTGAAGCCGGCTTTGGTTGAGCAGAGAATAGAATACGGGGTTGGGAAACATCGTGGCGGCGGCTGATGGCGGCAAAGGAACAAAGAAGTCGAGGGTCCAGGGGGTGGGATCGACAATGATGCGCGATGGCGGCGATTCGCTTCAGGGCGCACAGGCTAGAGCCCGGCGGTAGGGCATCGTGAAGTCATGGCCATGGTGGGGGAGGTGGTGGAAGTCGATGAGGTTGCATTGTAGGAGGGAACATCAGATGGCAGGTCTACATTCGACACAGCATTTCGGAGGAGGAATTGGGAAGGCTCGCCCTGAGTGGTCACTCCCCAAGCTTCCCCCAGGACAGCCCCTGTCTCCTCGGCGCTTTCAAGGCCAATCACCCACGAGCGCCATGCAGAACCTGAGACGACCAGGGGATCCACCACTCTGCAGTGCCTGATCTTCTCTTTCTTCACTCTGCCTACGTCGGTACGTAGCTTGGTAGGTAGTAGGCAGGTGAGGTACCTACCTAGGTACCTAGGGAAGGAGGGCCCAGAACAACAAGGAAGCGCCGGGGAGGCGATGCGCCTTCGCAGCGCTTGGCTGCCTTGCTCTTTCGTTGTTCATGGATGGGATATGCAGATTGGGTTGTGTCTGCACTGCTTCTACAAGAAGAAAGCAGTGCATAGTAAGTAACCTTAAACTTGGTCGATCATTTCACCACGCCAGGCCATTGCTGCACATGACGAGGCGGCAAGATAAGGATCCATAGGTTGGCAAGCTACCGTCTCGTCTGCCCAGGGCTACTGTCGTTTCAAGCAGAGACCCCTCTCGGAGCTTACTGTCTGCATCAGGAACGGACAAGTCCTGTGTTGCTTTTTCGCCAGGAATTTCCTTCGTCACTTACATCAGGCATTCCGGCACCCCCAAGGCCAACACAATGCGCTCTGCCGTGACCCCAAATTCGTCATCTGGGACCTCTGTCTTGCATGTGGTATATTCGTCTTTGTATGGGCACCCACCCTCCTCACAGCCCAGCTACGGCAGCTCCGTCTGCCTATGTCTACTGCCAGGACCATTTATTTCCACTTCCAGGTCGCTGCCTTCGTGGCCTTCAACGCAGTTCACCGTCGTCCTACCCAATCTGATCTCACAATCACGAATGTTCTTGGCGCAATGCCCATTCCACAGCACTCTTGACGTCCCTGTAATGTGTGTTGGCTGGTGCACAGGCTTCGTGCCAGCGGCGAACACGCCGGACTCGACGAGGATACTTTTCCATTTGTAGCCCTTTCGCGACCGAAAGCTTGTTGTCGCCAGCAATTTCACTTTTTGGGTTGTCGCCTATATGAAAACGGTCTTAATGGTGTATGCCGAGTCGATTTCCTCTTCTGGTGGAGTGCCGTTCCAGGCTTCAGGGCTTCTCGCGTAGACTTCCTCGCTTCGTCGGCTGCCGACCCCCGTGAGGCGAGGCTGGGCTAAACCCCTTTGTCTTGTAGGGCCAAAGGCCGCACAAGGCCTGTCGGAAAAGCGCCTTGGGCTAGGGGGCGGCTGCGCGTGCTGCGTGGCCCATTCAAAGTCTGGGTTGCTGAAGAAAAGCCTGGGCTGGCCGTCCTGGAGATAACCGCCATTCGGCAGGGTAGCGTCGCCGTTTTTCGGGGACCGGGTCCCAACGATGCCGTCCACGGACAGGAGCAGATCAAGGACGACCTGAAGGTCCAGACACCAGTCTCGGGGTGAGTTCCAGACAAGAATCGCGTGTATACGGAGCAGGCCGTCGTTGCTTTCGCCACTTTCGCTGCCATCGGTGCTGATGTCGAGCGGAGAAATTGGGTCCTTCCTTCCGTGTTTGCTGTGATGGTCTCGAGTCATCTCCGGGAAGGGGTGAATATGCTCGTGGTCCGTGTATAGATCAGAGGAAGTCACCACCTTTCGAAAACCATAGGCATGCGCGAGATCTGAACCTTGTCGCTGTGGCCGCCCAGGGCGAGGATTGTCCTGTCACCATACTCTGGGACCAACGCTCGATAGGGTGTGTGGCTTTGAATAAATTGATTCTCGTCAAGCTCTTCAAGTCCCAATCTGACACGGAGCTTGTCCACATGCGCTTCCTCCGTCAGCCCTCCTCCGTTGGTCAAGAAGATGAAAGGGATGTTGCGGGCCTGTAGAACTTGGAGAGCCTCTTTGGCCCCTGGTAAAGGCTGCGACCCCTTGGACAGCACACCGTCGATGTCGAAAACAAAGGCAGCCATGCTGGCTTTTGTAAACGATAGCGGCGGGATAATCTATTCATGGAAGGAAGGCGGAGTTTGGCATGGCATGAAGTATGTCGCGAGTGCAGTAAGTGTTGTGTGTGTACTTGAGAGAGGAGGGTGATAGTTGCGTAGAGGCCCTGGCAATACATAGGGCGCGGCCACGAAGTGAATTACATGGGAAAGTGAATCGAAAGGAGTGAATGGAACAAAGCGCATTGGAAGCCGTGCATGGAAGTTCGATGAGCCATTGCCAATTCCTGGACTAGACGGTAGTCGAATGAGGCAGATGGTGCCATATCTGGTCGGTGGAATGCAGGTGACCTTCGCACAGGGCTCATAAATCAAATGTGACACCATGCCTGCGAAAAGGGGGAGCAGCACAAGTTATTTTAAGTGGCATCGCAAAATAATTTCTGCCTTGAACCAAGCTGTCGGCACTGCCGGTTCTTCCCGATGATACCGATGATGCGATATACTGACCAATGCAGCGGGCTGATTTGCGCCATTCAACAAAGCGGGAAATACCCAGCAGAGTCGCCCACAGACAGCTCTTCGATTGGCACGGCTTCCGTCCTGCTTGCTCTCAGCCCATGACAGGCTTCCCTGGTGTTGTTCGCGTTCGTCACCCTGTAAATATAGGCACGGCTCGATTTTAGCATCGATGGCAATGCCGCGACGCAAGCGATGAGACCTATTGCTCGTATCATCAGGATACTTCGACAACGGCTTACATATTGGAGACACGGGTTATAGAACCTGCGATGTGACAAGCTCCCTTGAGGAACACTTGTAGTGATATTGTACCAACACACCAGTAACACCATATTATCCCCAGGTACCACCGCCTCCAGACCGTCCCCCCTTCTTCTGCGCACTGAGACGCCAATCGTCCTCCCCAGCAAATTTGTTGTACAGCGGCTGGATCCTCTCCGCCTTCTTCCTCTTCGACAGCTTGTCCGTCGGCGCCACCTTGAAGAACGTCGGTGCCGCCTCCACGAGCCACTTGGGCTCAATAGATGTTGAGCAGTGCATGTACTCTTTAGTCGTGAGTACTAGTGTGTGATAAATCACCCACTCAGCTTGCTTGCCGAACAAGGCCGAGCTCGGGTGCAGGTAAACTGGCGTCTGCTCAGTGAGCGTCTTGTACCCCTCCTGCGGATCCTTGCGCGCGGCGTTGCGGAAGAAGCCCGAGCAGAGTGCCTGTCGGACTTTCTGTGTGTTGCGTCCGCAGCTGACGACAGGGTGACGGTATCGGTCCATGATCTTGACAAGCTGATCGTGGACATCTTTGGCTCGCTTCATTGAGCGGGCCTGGATGAAGTTCTCGAAGCACCAAGGACTTGAGTAGCTCGACTGCTTCCAGGAGTTGTAGACGTTGAGGAGGGTCAGGTGGTCGCCAGCGGGGTCGTGGAACTTGGCCTTCTTCTGGTCGGCTTGTGTCTGCTTCTCCTTGGGACGGTAAAACACGTTCGGCAGGTTGAGCATTGCGACAATGATGAGCATCTCGGCTGAGCAGTTCATGTCGATTGACATGATCAGGACCTTCGCAAGCGAAGGCTCCATAGGGAAATCAGCCATTTTGCGGCCGAGACGGGTCAGAAGACCTTCGTCATCTAGCGCACTAAGTGCATACAACTCTTCAAGAGCTGTCAACATGGTGTTGATTGGAGGTGGGTCCATGAAGTCAAAATGAAGCAAGTCGTTGATGCCCATAGCCTTGAGCATGAGAATCGTGTGCGATAAGTTTTGGCGCTGGATTTCGGGAATCGTTGTGGGCAACATCTCAGATTGATAGGCTGCTTCGGTGTACAGACGGAAGCACTTGCCGGGGCCGGTACGTCCTGCTCGGCCTGCTCTTTGGTTGGCCTGAGCCTGTGAAATAGGGGTGACGACAAGAGAGTCCATGCCGAGTTTGGGGTCGTAGGCGTTCTGCTTGACAAATCCGGGGTCAACGACAAAGTAGATATTGTCGATGGTGATGGACGTCTCTGCGATGTTGGTGGCGATGACGACCTTCCGGCAGCCCGGCGGTGCCGGATCGAAAATGCGACTCTGCATCTCGTTCGGCAAAGCGGAATAAACGGGAAGGATGAGCAGCTCAGGTACGTTCGGTCCTAGAGCTTTCATCCGCTCAAATAGAATCTCGCACGATGTGTCGATTTCCTCCTGTCCAGTTAAGAAGAGCAAGATGTCTCCAGGCGGCTCTGTGAGGTGAATCTGCATCACCGTGACCAGAGCTGCGTCGAGATAGTCGGATTCCGGTTCGCGAGAATACAAGACTTCGACGGGGAAGGTTCGACCAGGGATCGTAAAGATAGGACACCCGTTAAAGTACGAGGAGAACTTATCGGCGTCGAGAGTTGCTGATGTCGCAATGACTTTCAGGTCCTTGCGGCGGGCCATCGTCTTCTTCAACAGAGCGAACAACACATCAGTCGAGATGGTACGTTCGTGCGCTTCGTCAAGCATGATGACCGAGTACCGCTTCAGATCGGGGTCGACCAAGATCTCACGCTGAAGCATACCATCCGTCATGTACTTGATCCTCGTTGCCGGGCTGGTCCGGTCCTCAAATCGAATGGTGTAGCCCACCTCTTCACCCAAGGGGCAGCCGACTTCTTCCGCCACACGTTTGGCGACAGACATGGCAGCTACACGACGCGGTTGCGTACATCCAATGACACCATGATTGGCGAAACCACCTTCAGCCAGGTATTGTGTGAGCTGAGTAGTCTTGCCAGAGCCTGTCTCTCCAATGACAACCATGACCTGGTGGTCGTTGACGGCGTCGAGGAACTTTTGGCGGAAAGCAAAGACAGGCAGAGACTCCCGCTGCTGCTTCATGCTCATGTCTGTCCTCTTGCCAAACGACTGGTCTTTGGGCTGCACAGCACGCTTCCATTCCGGGACGGCATCGGGTTTGGGCGCTTGCTGTCTCGCGTTTCTCATGTCGCTGGCAAACTTGCGCTTGTCGGGGTCGGCCATGGGGTCGTTCCATTGTGTGGAGAGATCAACCTTGTTCTCCTCTTGCGCTGCAGCCTCTGCTTCTTGCTGCTTCAACTCCTTCCGTTCCTTGGCGAGTGCAGTGCCTGACATGGCTGCGCGATTCATTGAGCCATCCGGTGCCTTCACGACGCGGATCGGCGACAGCTCAAGGGACTGCTTAGTCTGTCCGGCCAGGAACGGGGGCTCCTCCTCGCGAACCTCGATATCGACCTCCTCCTCGAGTTCCATCTCGCCATCGCCACGCAACGTTGCATTGTAGTCTTCGTTGAGGTCAGGGTAGTCAGAGGCCTTTGCGACGCCTGATGCGATCAGTTGCCGAATCTCCCACCTTTCTGGTGAAGTCATCCTCTTCTTCTGCCGCTGCGGCCGTTGATTTGGTGGTGGCATGACCCCGGCGTCAAACATGTGCCATTCCTGTCGACTCGCCGCCTCCCAAAGCTTCATGTGCGCGGATGATATCTGCTGTGTACAGGTCATCTGTCTCTGG